CAATGGTAATGTTTTTCACATCTACTAATTATTAAGGAGCAAATTTTTATGCTTTGAAGATTTATTTTTAATCTTTTTAAAAATTTTAATTACATGATTAGAAGAAGCATTTCACTACAGCTTTGGGAACCTTCCAGAGGACTGACTGCCCCCATCTGGAAGGCAAGACAGTATAAGGCTCTGCTGTTCCTGGTAGAGCTTTTGTACCACTTTGAGTATTCTGCTTTCAGCTTCCTTCAGGCTCTATTGAGAAGTACCTAGAAGCTTAGTAAAGCATATTTATTTTAATATTTTTATTTTATGTGCATGTGTGTGTTGCCCGCATGCATGTAAGTGCACCCATGTCATGCAATGCCAGAGTAGAACAGAAAAGGTCATGAGATTCCCTGGAATGGGAGTTACAGTTGTTAGCTGCCATGTGGGTGCTGGGATTCGAACCCAGGTCTTCTGCAAGAATAGCCAGTGTTCTTAACTGCTGAGCCATCTCTCCAGCCCTGTAAATCCACATTTCTGGGTGTGTCAGTGTCTCCCGATTGGCTGGTTCCTCCAATGGGCGGGGCCTGACACAGAGTGGGAACTAGGAAGGGAAGCTGGGAGCCATCTTGGGATGGAAGCCAGGAGCTGCCGGTAGAGAGTGATGGTGCAGGAAGCACGCAGCCAGTGCAACAACTCAAAGAATGGACTGACTTCCTGTGGACCTGGGGCGAGATCGCTGGCCCGGGGTGTGAGCGAATGCTAGCAGGACTATGGTCGTGGCATGGTCTGATAAGGCAAGATCTGAGTCGCAGTGGAGCAGGGCTAGGCACTGGGTACTCATTCCTTTGTAAGTTAATAAACTCACATAAAATATATATGGTTTGTCTGATTGCACAGGAGACCCAGAGAGAATTCAGGCCAGAGTCAGTAGGGGATCTGTGAAGATTAACTAACCCCAGAAGACCTGTTCTGAATGTAGGTGCCACCATCTGGTAGGCTGGGAGCCCAACAGGAATAAAAGGAGGAAACAGTTAGTTGTAGGCATTGTTTCTTCATCTTTCTCTCTGCTTCCAGGCTGTGGTAACGTGAGCTGCTCTGCTCTGCCATGTTCTCCCCACCATAATGGATGGAAACGTCTGAAGCTATGAGCAAAATAAATGTTGCCTCTTGAAACCCTTTCTAGCAGGTATTTTGTCACAGTGGTGAAGAATCTGACACATGATGAATAAGTTGTTACAAGCCGATTTAAGGATACAATACAAAAATAATATGTGATATCAGTGAATAAAATGCAGTGATGTATTTATTAAGAGCTATCGGGGACTGGAAAGATCATATCACACAGTGATTATGAGCACTGGCTGCTCTCGCAGAGATCTTGAGATTGAGACCAGTTTGGTCTACATAGCAAGTTCCAGGCCAGCTGGAGCCACAGGGAGACCCTGTCTCAAAAAAAACAAGTCAAAAAATTAAATTATAAATAAAAGTTCAGTCTAACTTTAGCAATCTGAATTCTGAAATTTCCCCTTCCATTAACTTCCATGTCTTGATTCAAAAAGGTTCCAAAGACAATCTCAGCAGAGTGCAGATCAATCCTGAATCCCAGCACCAACATAGTGGTTCACAACCACCTGTAACTCCAGCTCTAGAGGATCTGACACCCTCTTCTGGCTTCTAGGGGTGCATTTAAACAGATGAAGGCAAAACACTCATACACATAAAATATATATTTTTTGGTCTTTTTGAAACAGGGTCTCTCTGTAGCCTCAGCTGGCCTGAAACTCACTATGTAGACCAGGCTGGCCTTGAACTCACAGAGATCTGCCTGCCTCTGCCTCCCGAGTGCTGGGATTACAGGCATGTGTCACCATGCCTGGCATAAAATGTTTTTTAAAAAGAAAAAAAGATCCATCAACATCAAATAGATTTTATTCTAGGAACTTTAAGATAGTGTAGTGTTCTCAATATAGTTTATTTCATTAGCAGATTAAAGGTAAACATGGTTAAGTGCTGAAGTGCTAATGAAAATCATAAAATATATATCTGTGGAAACTGACAAGTGTGTTTCAAAAATTCTCTAGGCTGGGTATGGTGGTGCACACCTTTAATCCCAGGAATCAGGAGGCAGAGGCAGGCAAACCTGTGAGTTTGAGGTCAGCCTGGTCTACATAGTGAATTCCAGGCTAGCCAGGGCTACCTAGTGAGACTCTTGTCTTAAAAAAAAAAATTCTTGTGGAAGAATAAAGGGCTAAGAACAATTGAGAAAATTTGGAAGGCAAATACAGAATTTGCTCGATGAAATTTTAGGGTTTACTTTAAAACTATAAGGAGGGTAAAGCAGAACATAGGCTTCGCTCTCTGCTGAGTAGCCTGTCTTCCTCCCTCTCCTTCTACCTTGAGAGCTGCTCACCAGTGGCTGGTACACCCCCTTGTCCTCTCCTCTGACCTGGACCCCTCCCAGAAGCCTTGGTCTTTAGGGGTTGCTGTTCAGCCATCTTTCTTATAGACTTCTGGTTTCACTGGATTGTGATTAGGCCTATTGGTATAAAAGCTTGTGACAGTGCAGATGCAGTGTGAGCATAGATGGTGTGTGTTCATCCCAGGCCTGGGGCTTGTGAAATCAGACAGATTTGCCTTTTCAGTGGCTGGACCTAGATAGAGTTTCAGTCACATGGCTTATGGAGTGGTGGAGTGATGAGTAAGACAGGCTCTAAGTGTTCAAGGTGGGTGAGGCGCTTCTACATGGACCTGGGCTATTTTCTCCAGAACTGGTAGATTAAAATGCAATAAATGCCCAAATTCTTTGTGTGTGTGTGCTTGTGTGTGTGTGCTTGTGTGTGTGTGCATATGCACATGCCTGTCCGTGTATGTATGTGTGGGTGTGTCTTTGTTACGCTATAAAATCTGTCTCGCTCCTGAGTGCACTCTAGGACAATGGAGCTGAATTTCAGGCTCCTGGTGGAGGGAGGTGCACAGTTGGAATACTTTTCACACCTGATATCCTACCTCCCTCATGTTGGGCCAAATGGCCCTGAAGACTCAAGCTTGTGGCCTGGATGGGAACCAGGCCTGAGGTGATGTTGACAGGTCTACGGTTTAATGTAGACAAAAGAGTGGGGCCATCCTCTGGGGTCCTGGTCTAGCTATCTCTCTTTTTTTCTCAGCTAGAGTCCCCCTGGGACCCTCTTAGTAGTGGACACAGTAGAGATGGACACTTCCGCTGATCCGGAGTTCCCGCAGCCGCTCCAGGGACTTTTGGTCCAGGCTGGTGGCCCCCAGCCCCTGCCCATTGAGCGCCAGCTTCAGTCCTCCCTCCTGGCACAGAAGCAGGACCTGGCAAGGAGGGTCTGAGTGAGTGGTGGGCTTCCAGACTGACCCCTGCTGTGCTACCCATAAGGATCCTCCTCCCCGAGAGGACACAAAGACCAGAAACAGCAGTCCAGGGACTTAGTTTCACCATCTGAAACTGGGTTGCTGTCCATTGGAAAATTACCTGTCAACCCTGGATGCACACTAGAGCCATTAGGGGAGTTTGAGACTGGGTCTCACGTAGCTCAGTCTGGCCTCAAGCTTACTTTGTAGCTGAGGCAGGACTGGGACACCTGATCCTTCTGCCTCTTCTCCCCAAGGGCTGGGACTACAGGTGTGCAAATCACACCTGGCTTAGAGGAACTTTTAAACACAGCTGGTGCTCAGCCCCTACAACTGCATTCATTATGGCTGTGTTTTGGGTCCAGGATCCCTCACATCAGCAATGAAAGGTTTAAGGACAATGTCTGGATGATCTTTGCCGGCCTGGCTCTGGCCTCCTACCCCATGGCACTGCCCTACTCACCAACCCCAGGACCCTCCCATAGACACCTAGATTATTATGGGAATTGGCTATATGCTTGTCATGGAGGGATGTGGACGGATGTGGAGGGATGTGGCTACTTGTTTCAGACATACCTCAAAGAATCGCTGGGGGTAAAAGAGGAAGGGGGCTGAGATCAACTTCCTGCATCCCCAGGAGGAGACCCAGGCCAGCGTTCTGTCTGTGAAGGAAGCTCTGAGTGTCACAGGAACATGGGTGGCCCCATCTCTTAGGCTCAGGGTGAAACTGCGGGAAGCAGTTCAGAGAAGTGGATTAGCTTCTGTTGCTTTCAGGCCATTATAAACTCCAGGGGAAGGGATTAGAAGGTTCTATGGCTTTCAGGTGTTAAGCTTCTGTGTCAGGCTCTGGGCTGGACAGACCATAGAAATAAGGAAATAACCTATCCTGAGCCTCAGTTTGTCCTCCTGAAAACAGGGATAATTATGAACACAGCAGCTAACATTTATTGAATGTTATGTGTCAGGTTGTGTCTTAACTCTTGCAAATACCTCAGTGGTTAGAGCCAGGCTGCAGAGGTCTTACCCTGGCTCTGTTGCTTTCTAGTCTTGTGATCTTGGGCAAGTCACTTAATCTCTCTGTGTTTTGTTTCCTCATCTGTAAATTAGAGATGACGAAAGTGCTGTTCTTGACCTGTGATGTTGTTGTTAGAATTAAATGGAGAACACATGTAAAGGGTTTGTGCAGAAAAGCATACAAGCATAAAAAAGATACCTATGGTTTAAAAATAGTATATAATACAGTATCTACCTATTTTCAGTCTTTTATTTTTGTTTGTGTATGTGTCTTGTGCGTGCATCTGTGTGTGTGTGTGTGTGTGTGATATGTGTATGTGTGTGCACAGATATGCATGACAGAAATCAGAGGAGGGCACTGGGTGTCCTCTGTCACTCTCTGCCTATCCCTTTGAGACAGGGTGTCTCCCTGAACGCAGAGCTTATGTTCCCAGGCTGGAAGCCGGGAAGCCCTAGCAATCCTTTCTGTTTCTGTATGACTCAGGGCTGGTATTACAGGTGAATGTGGGATGTTTGGCTTGTTATGTAGGTGCTGAGATTTGAACTCAGTCCTTATGATTGTATCGCAGACAGTCCTTTCTCTAGCCCCTTAACAGAATTTTGATGGGCATCTAGAGGGATTCTCTTATTCAGTCTAGGGCTGTGCTGGATGGGGTGGGGGTGAAAAGAGGGGACACTGAAGTCCCTAGTCTAAAAGGATTTGAGCCACAGGCCAGAGTTTGAGTTTCCCTTGGAGGAGAAGCCAGGAAGCATCCATTTTGTAATGGCCCCTCCCAGGTCCTGGCTCCCAAGTACCAGTCCTTCTATCTTGGGTAGCCTGGCTGTTTCCTAAACTGAGTATTGTGTAATGGAGAGAGGCCACATCGTCTCTTCGGGCCTCAGCAGGTGTCTGGAAAGGCTCTTTCCTGCTAGAATATGGGGTTAGTTGGCCTGACTAGGGAGATGCACCAGTGGGGAAACCGCTCACAAGCCAGGCCGCTGGGTCCAACCCCAACGTGACTTCTCCAAGCTCTGCGGCCGGGTTAGTTTACTTCTCTTTGCTCTGCTGTAATAAGGGGATTATTACAGATGATGGTGCTGGAAATTTAGAAGAGGGGATAATTTAGTTGGATACTTACTGCTTTGGCTCTTGCAAGACCAGGCCCCGAATTATGATGACTTGTCCAGGCCAGAGACCCCGAGGAAGAGTGTGTGAGCAGGGCACCTCCTAATAGAAATGGGACATGACTGAGAAGGTGGCTGTGGGGAGCTAAGGAAAGCCCGCTTGACACCATCAGGAACAAGGCTACGCTCAGGAGCAGAGGGGCAGAGGGACACCAGGACAGGAGAGTTTCTCCATAGGTTTGCAGCCAGGAGACTCAGCCTTTCTCGGGCTGAGCTGGGCACCCTGGTGCCTAAAAACCATGGGCTTCTTTCATGGCTGAGCTACTGTAGGAGGCGTGCAGTGGCTCATCCTATGAATAACTGGAGACACTGCCTGGTCTCTTTATCCTAATGCCTGGCATTGGGCCAGTCAGAGAGAAGTGTTAAATGCCTGTTTCAGACAAGTGGGGAGGGAGGGTACAATGAAGCTGGAGTTCAGCCTGGAGCTGCCCAGGCCTCCCGCAGCTGCAGTTTTCAATAAAGGAAGGGAAACCACGACACTGAGGGAGCTGAGAAGGGACTACACCTCCAGGAGATACTGGAGGGAGGGTCACTTACCAGTCTGGGGCTGTACAGCAGAAACGGCTGTCAGGAGAGAAAGGCAGGAGGAGGCTATTGATGTTTGCTTGGGAAAAGAGAAACTTTTGCTACTGTTTTTACACCTTGGGGACACCTGGGGTTTGTGTCTCTCACAGAGGCAGGTGAGTGATTAGTCCCAAATGGAGAACTTATTTTGAACCCAGAGACCCCCTATCTCTGAGTAATGGGGAAGAGATGGAAGGACTGTGGATCTGTCATCCTATACCTTGGGCAAGTACACGTGTCTCAGCTCCCTTTCTGTCCCATGAGGCCAACCCCAGCCACCTTCCAGGACTAATCTGAGAATCTAAAGTTTCAACAGAAAGTATCTCCTGATGGGAATCGTGGGTCTCCCCAGCTAGCCAGTCACCCCACCCACCTTCCCAAGCTTGCCCTGGAGATGGGCCAGGAGAGGCAAATCCAGATTCTCTAGGGGCTGGAGGGAGCCAGGCATTTTCCTGGCACCCGTTGTAGTGAGGGAAGGGGCATCTGGGCTTTGTGCAACATAAGGTCACATGGGGGGAGGAAGGAGGACCAGCTGGGTTTTGTGGAGTGGCTGCTAGCCTTCTCTATCAACAAAGTCCAGTCTTGCTCCCAAGAGACTCACATATCCAGGCAGGGAGCCATCAAGACTGATGACTGAGTTCCCGCCCCAGAATTCACATGGTAGAAGGAGACTCCTGAAAGTTGTCCTCTGACCTCCACACATGGGCCATGGAATGCATACCCCTCAAACCTGAACCCAGTCATGCATGCACCCACACACACATCATGTATGTGCACACACAAAATAAACAAATGTAATTAAAAAAACAGAGACTCACATATCCAATTGGATACTCTCTGCTGCCCTCCACAAATGGCTGTTCAGAACAAGAAAAAAGAACCACAGCATTTGGGACCACTGTAAACCCTGATTCCCACACAACTTCCTAAAGCTGGCATGCTGCGTCTTCTTGTTCTTGGCCCCATCTCAGACTTCCTCAATCACTTTGAGGATCTGTATTTTACAGTACTGGGGATTGAACCCAGGACCTTGTAAGGGCTTTACCACTGAGCTATATATCCAGCTATATTCTGGAATAAGTTCACCAAGCAGGAAAGAACCATCTAGCAAGCTGCAGCCTCCAGGCCCCAGTGTGCCAAGTCCTTTGCCCCTCAGTGCCAAGCAGACTTCACCATCAGGAAAGACTTCTGCTTGTGGCTCCTAGGCTTGCTTTCTGTGGTCACCTTCTCATTCCCTCACTCCCGCCATCTCTATTGCCTTTGTGTGCTCCTGTCTTTTGGATATGCCTGGTGTACAGGCCCCCTCTGTCTCTCTCAGTCTGGTGGCTGAGTGAGTCCTAGACCTGTCCAGGCTAGGGGAAGTCAGAGGCCACCACTGATCCAGCCTTGGCTCCAAGGGAACTTACGTTGATATTCAGGAATCCAACAGCCTTCACCAAGATGTCACCGAATATGCCCAGGGTGTCCACCCGTGACAGCGGGAGCCGGTATCGGTAGTGGAGAAAGTGCTGTCCATTTACACTCACCTGGAAAGGCAGACAAAGCCCAGCTGAAGAGCAACCAACGTTTTCTGGGTGTGTAATCGCATCCCAGGCATCAGCAAGCATGCCTCCCTGTGTTGGAGGCCAAGCCTTAAGTATACCCCTGCCCCAGTTTGAAACATCCAGGTGGCCTTGTAAAAACATGTTTTTCTTGCCCTGATTTTTTTCTACATTTTACTTCCTTATCTTGTGAAACCACCAGGGCTCATGACTGTAGTAGAAATTCCCCAGCAGGGCCTTGCTGCCTTCCACTCCCCCCGCCTTCTCTCTGCCCTTTACTTTCCCCCACCCTCCGCTTTACTATATTAACACTGTGTGATTGCTCAATAAAAGAGACTTGATCAGGAGACTGTCTGGTCTCCATTTCTTCGTGCCCCCTGTCTATTCATTCCTCCAGGTTCAGTCTCGGTGCCCCACGCTGTTGCTCCGTGGGTCGGGGCATCTCTGGCGCCCAACGTGGGGCTCGAGGAAGACCACCGAGAGGCACGCCAACCACAGAGAGACTGCGCAGGCACCCCCCATGAACGCCCGAGATCGCCACGGAACGACCGCCGTGAGACAGATCGGTAGAAGAGAAGGTAAGGTTGACGCACCCAATAGATAGGCATTATTAGTGCTTGAGATTCTCAGTCCCACAATAGGGAGGGACCCCAGCTCCTGAGAAATTGCCAGCTTGCTTGGAGTAGGAGGAGCGGTGTACTTGTTCCTTCTAAGCCATCCACCGAAGATCTACGGTTACTAACAGGTGACCGGGTCTGTCGGGTGTGTGTCAGCACTTATACTGACTGGCGAGGCTCACGCAAGGGCGCTTCTCAGACAGCATGGGCAACTCTTTGGATTCTCAGGGACAATTTCTTCAGGGACTCAAGGAGTCCCTCAGAGCACGAGGGATTAAGGTTTCAGGAAAAGATCTTAAACAATTTTTCTCCTTTATTCATGATACATGCCCTTGGTTCCCCCTGGAAGGGACAATCAACCAAAAAAGATGGAAAAGAATAGGCAATGCACTTCAGGATTATTATCGGACCTTTGGACCTGAGAAGGTTCCCGTAACTGCCTTTTCTTATTGGAACCTTAAGAACCTGAACAGACCAACATTGGCCTCTCCGAGGAAACTGAAATCGAGCCATCTGAGGGCCCAGGGCCCTGTGATGAATGTTACAAAAGAGGGAATATCTGCAACAGGCTGCCTTTCCCCCGGCCCTCTTAGCTCAGATACAGAATGCCACACTCAAGGCATGGCGGCGTCTTCCCCCTAAGGGGCCCACCACTTCCTCGCTGGCTAAGATACGCCAGGGGCCGGATGAGTCATACACTGACTTTATCAGCCGCCTCACCAGCGGGGCCGAAAGATTAGTCGGGAAATCTGAAGATAGTGCCTTTGTTAAACACTTGGCCTATGAAAATGCTAATTCAGCATGCCAAGAAGCCATCAGGCCCCACAGGCAGGGCCCTCTTTCTGACTACATTAAACTATGTTCAGGAATTGGGACAGCCCATGCAATGGGCCTCGCAATAGGAGCTGCCTTTCAAAATTTTACTAGGGATAAAACTTGCTTCAATTGCAAACAACCTGGTCACTTTTCTAAAGAATGCCCTGCTGGGTCCAGAGCCCCATGCAGCTTGCCCAAGACCATTTGCCCTAGGTGCAAAAAGGGGCACCATTGGGCCAATGAATGCCGCTCTAAAACTGATAATGAAGGAAAAACCCTAGCCCCTAGGCAGGGAAACTTCTCACGGGGCCAGCCCCTGGCCCCATCAAAGGGATTGAACCCTGGGGCTATCAGGTTCACCCCACCAGCACAGATCAGGAATTTAGCTCCCTCCTCAGAGTTATCCCTGGGAGTGCCGGATTGGACCTCTGTGCCTCCACCTCTACAATATTAATTCCAGAACTAGGGTTTCAACTCATATCCACAGATATTTTTGGGCCATTTCCACCTGAATTGACAGGATATGTAATAGGCAGAGGAGGCATGCTCTTGGAAGGTCTCCAAATAGCCCCGGGAATAATAGATAATAGCTTCACTGGACAACTTGCACTTTTAGCCCTCTCCACTCTTGGGCCCATAAAAATTAATCAGGGGGACTGGATTGCATACCTCCTACTACTCCCTGCCAATACAGATGCCCATTCTAGTA